TCTTAGGCGGCATGTCTATGATTTTCATTTAGGCATTCGAGTCTCCTCCTTTTCGCCTCGTGTACAATGAGGTACACCCCCGCGGGGTCGTGATTCCCCCGCGGAAACAATTGCACTTGCACTTCTATTATATTTATTGTTTTGTATTTTAAATGGTGATCGCAATAAAATAAATTGTGTAATGTAATTTATTTAAATCCAAACGTTACAGCTTTTAAATTGGTTATATAATCTCCAATCACAAACTTATTATGGCGAATCACAAAGTTTGTCTGATAACAATTAATTTTGAATTACAATGACGGTACTTAAAATAACAGTCATTATATAAGGAATACTCTAAGGTTTTCGCGCTGGCGACACGTTATGCCGGTCATACACGCTACGTTATACCGGGGAAGTCTACCTGTGCAGTCGTACCTGCGCATGTAGGCCGCTTGTCGTAGCGAATATGGGACTAACCAGTATGCCGGAGAGTTCTTCAATATGGGAAAGATATTAATGAATTAGTTATATTTCTATAAATTCCTCAAATATTTTCGCAGGGTAGCGTGATTAGATGCTTACTTTTCCTAATCTACATAAATGACTTACCTAAATCTATTTCTGACACTGTGTCATGTTTGCCGACGATGTTTAATTTTTGACATTATATGGTACCGGCAACGTGAATGCAAAAATTCACCAAGTTTTCACTGAGGTTATAAACTGGACATCTGACCATAACTTGGATATAAATTTAAATAAAACAAAGATTATGCAATTTCACCCACTGCAAAAGACCTCTATATTTTACAAATTTGTAAAATTAAACAACACCCTGACTTTTGTTCTAACATTAACGACCTGCCCTAACGACACACTTTTAGACCACGCAATAGATTGCTTCTGCCACGATCTCAGCTACACATACACAGCTCAAGACCCCACTCGATGTCGGTGAGGATATTCAACGAACTCTCGTCCATTATTAAGAACGAGGAAAAGTATTCACTTTTTGTAAATTAATTAAAATTACATCATACTGATAAATGTTATTACAATTTCAATGAATACTTTGATGACAAGTAAATTTTTACTAATATTAATATATAATAATAATATTATAATAAATTTGAATAATAAATAAATCTTAATTATATACTGTAAGGTTATGCTATTGTAATCTAATTAAATTCAAGCTTTCAAGTAATAATAATAATAATAGTAACGTACACACTCAACATAGCCCCGCACTAGGGAAACCCTGTGTCGCGGGTGCCATGGACACACACGTAGACAACCACAAATTACACCCAAACTCACGAGAGAAATAAATGTAGCCCATAGAAATATTTCTCCCGACCCGGGAATCGAACCTGGGACCTCTACATGGCAGTCCGGCATGGTAACCGTTCGGCCACGAAGTGACATAATTCTGCTTATAATATGACGTATTTCTTATTATATGACGTATTTTTTATTTTATATTATTATTTAATAAATTCTAATTAATAATCGAAACCTCGGCCTGCCTCTGCTCTTGTTGTTATCCCTAATAAAGGGCTCATATTATGTGTAGCCTTAGAATAATAACGCATAGAATGATAGTTTCATATCAAACGAACTGTCACAAGTGAGGCAAAAATCAAATTCATGTAGGCTAGTTTTAGTAGTAAGTTAATTTTCGGTTTTAGTGAATATTTATATAAAAATACAAGTTGAAACGCGTTACTTCCTTGTGGAATGTGATGTTAGTATCTATTTTATGTTTGTCTGACGTATTTTTACACTCATTTACCGCACATTTCGTCATTTTTAGCTAAAATTCTGGAGCTGTTCGTGGTGCAAGTTGACCTTGAGCACTGAAGGCCCGCCCGCTCGTGTAGGCCTTTTCGGAGCGCTTCAATTTGCCTCACTTAGCGTGTGCGGGCTAGGTTTCTATGCGTTATTATTCTAAGTGTGTAGCATTATCTTAATTTTAAGACATGTATGTACAATATGAATGCAATAAATATATTGAGCCTTCATTATTGTATGTAAGCAAGTTTTTTTGAACTTAACTGCTACATCCAGCAGATGGATGTAGCAAGTTAAGTTCTTTGTAAAAGTGTTCGTTCAGAGAAGTACTGCCCACTTTACCTATTTCTGCCTTTCAATTCCAGGTTTTAAAGGTTCCTGGTGAAATTACAAACACATGGGACTTGTCAATTTATGCCTCCCGGATCTTTTCGATTTAAAACTCTGAGTGGCACTACAGCTGCTATGAACAGGCGTGTCGCTTACCACCAGGCTCACTACTTCTTCGTCCTGTCTCTAGGCATCACTAAAAAATGTGACAAGCTGAGGTCCGGGTAAAATGGCGCACATTGGGTAGAGGCCCATGTCAAGTAGTGTAAAAGTAGCAACCGGCAAATGTGTCCAGTTGCCGTTACTGTGTTTCTTATTTAATGTAAAAAAATACAATGAAAACAATTTTTCTCGTTTGCGCAGCGCCTTACGCTATATCTCCACGGGTCTTTACAGACGGTCGTAGAAAACATTGTGCGTCATACATGAGACTACACACACTTTAACAGTTGTTAAATACGTAAATAAATTGTATTATCCTACAATTAGAACGAATAAAGATAAGAGATATCTATAACAAACAGTGTATCCATGACATCGTCGTCGTTATCCAAGAACAGAATATGATTTATATTTCACGATAATACTGTTATTTATAGGTATAAGTTAGTTTTATTTAAATTAAAAGATTGGGAATAAAAGTACTTTTTCGGATCTACAATATAATAATAATAATAATAATTTATTCCCAAAAAAAGATTGTATCACAAAATTGAGACAAATGGTAATTAAATACTAGTTGTACAAAGTGATTTGTTCAAACTCTGATCATCCAAACTAGGCACATGCCTGTATCTTGGAAATCAGTGTCCGGCCACCTAAATTGAGCTATTGGAGTAAAAATTACATTAAGAGATATTTTGGGCATTGGTACTAAAAAGGGGCAAGGTTTGAAATATTACAAACGATATTAACAGCAAAATACCAAGGAATTAGGTAAGTGTGTTTGTGTGTAAGTGTGGGTGTGTGTGTGGGAGTGAGTGTGGATGAGTGAGTGTGAGAATTTGTGTATGTGTAAGTGAGTGATTAAGTGCTGTTTGGTAGTAGAATTTCTGTATCATCGTAGTTCAGATTTAAAAGCCAATTTGACAAAGTATGTTTAACCTCAAATTTATTTAAATTGTTAATGTTCAAAAAAATCTAATCGCGAGTATTTGTTTTTCCTAACAAACCAAGGTTCCATAAATAAATAAATACCGCGCTCATACTCATAGCCTCGCACTAGGGAAACCCGGGTACCATGGACAACCACAAATTATACCCAACTCGAGAGAGAAACAAATGTAGGTCATACAAATATTTGTCCAGGCCCGGGAATCGAACCCGGGACCTCTTCGTGGCTGTCTAGCATGGGAACCGCTTGGCCACGGAGGCAGTTAAAATTGTGACTGGATTAAAATTGTGTGTTATCATAATTCAACCTTTTTAGCGTTACTCTAATTTTGTCCAATAGTGTATACTGCCCTGCTAGGCCTTACGAAAGGCGCTATTTCTGAGATACGCCCTTTTTTATACCATTCAATAGCTATAATAATTTCGCATCTAATGGTATAACAGAAGTAGCGCTGTCTAACTTAGAACGTTTTAAAAACCACTAAGAAGTATTTTTGTATCTCAATTTTTCCTTAAATTACTAATAGATTTGGCGGCTTTCTTTATAATCAAAATAGCGGTATCTGACAAAATAGGTATAATGGTGGAACAATTTATGGATTATTTACGTATGTCAATAAATCTATTAGTCAAAATTACGCATATATAAATTTTAACATCTTCAAAATCAGGGCAGTATACACACGTCACACGCTTTTTCCTACACGATCCTGACATACATCTCTCGTCAACACATCAATACTTCGGCCACGGAGACAGTTAAATGGCAGTCGGTCAGCTGTGATTATTGGATCTGTAAAAACCCTGCAATATGCGCTATTTTTATCCATAAAAAATAGTTTCATTTCAGAGTTGAATGAGGGAAAGTTAATAAAAAAGAAAGATATAAGATGGAACCTTTGCTTCAAAAATCAAATACACTAAAATATATCGACTTTACCACTTCCCTATGACAAACGTCAAATGAAGTGTCATAGTCCATCCTCTAAATCCTAGTTTGTGTTTAGTTTTTTTTTATTTATTAAGGCTTTGGCAAAGCCATAAGCCTAAACATGAAGTTTAAATATGTTTCTGTAAATATGGCCACCACAAAGAGGATAGGCAATTTGAGGCGGCGTGCTTGGATTGACTCGGGATTCCTTAAAACGGGCCGATACGGGTATTTTAGTTCGAGATTCGTATAATTTCGTGTTTTAATCTTCGATTAAGGCACAATAGCACTATCCTATTCCAGTTTAAACTAGATTTCACAAAATAATTGAAAGTCAAAATAAAAACGACACTTTTCCCTCCAAAAGGTCCAGAGCGAATCTTTGTGTTTAGTTTAGTTAATAAACTAAGACCTACCTACATTTCTACAATGTCTACTAATTGTGATTTTGCTATAGTAACAGCTTTCTTGTAACTATACAATTACAAATCGGTACTGATATCTATTTGATACCATAGAAATGCACACAACACACTACACCACAATCGTATAGGGAAAACAGTAACACAGGCCTTTCAACTTTTGACGTTATCCATTGCCGTTTTAGCATTACGTTATCTATTAAAATTGAAAAAAAAATCAAGCAATGGACATAGCTGTTCAGGATTAGTTCGCTCGTTACTAAACTGCGTATTAGGGCCGTGGTCAATGGTATTATTATGTTATTTATCAGACACCGTCTTCTGTTCGTCAGTTACTTAACGGTTGTTGTCCGCGACGGTCCATACTTAAAACCGACGTTTCCGTATTCTCAAATTACTTTCTCAAGTTACAATGCATCAACATGGTGATCCTCAAGTTAGAAAATTGCCGTTCTGATACGAAAGTAACAGAGATTTTCGCGTTTTACGAACCTAACCACCCGAAAAGGTTTTTTAAATATAGTTGACCGTAATTTTTAGTGTTCAACGGACATTCAATCGAATTGCTGTTCGGAATTCGTGTTGCGATTTGAATATAAAAAAAGTTGGAACTCAAAATTAGGCAATTTTTTAAAAGTGTTAGTTTTTAACTTCAGAGCCTTTATTAGTTTGGCATTTGGATTGATATTTCAAGCATGGAAAACAAGGCCAAATACAGTCGTATCCAATCCTATGGGAGCATGAGCACTTCAAGAAGCGAAGATGACATGACGGTACATAGCCAGTTATTCCCGTACCACAAGAAAATGGTCATCCAACACGAAGTTCTGTATGAAGAAGAGCATCCACCATTTCAACCATTATTCGCGACTACTCGAATATTCGGAAAAGCCAGATTTACCCTCCTATTGACTATTTATATAGTTTTCTACTTAGCGTATTTGATAACTGGAGCCTTGGTATTCTCGGCTTTAGAAGCGCCTTTAGAAAATCAAATAAGATTAGAAGTTATCAGAGCAAAACAAGACTTTTCGGCCAAATATCCCAATGTTATTGGTACGTATTTTATTTTTCTTCTTACGCTGCTTTAATAAAGTCGATTTACATTAATGGCGGTCATCATATTCAAATTACGAACTCTAAAAAACTAGTTTTCTATTAACAAATTTATTTACGATACAGCCTAGTGGTAAGTAAAAGTATAATGCAAAAAGTAAGAAAAAGTATAATTAAGTTTAACAACAAAAATAGTGGTCACGTGTATATTATATATTTTACCGTATTAGACTCGTTTCGTACATAGTATACTTTCACATGATAAGAGCTCTAAAATGTTATAATATTTCAATAAGCATTGCGTCCTCAACAACAAAAAGAAGGAATGCATATGTCTCTATTTTTCCGCATTTTACTATTAAGAGACTAAACAATCCCAAATGGTGTTGTGAAAGTGTTGAAAATTTGGTAAAAATATATAATAAAATTGAGGATTTACACTAATACAGTGTAAAAACACGATAGAAAAAAAAAACACAAACTTACCTCGATATTTTACAAGAGAACCACTGTATTCAATAGGTACTTTAGATATAGCAATGACTTTTTTTATATATCAACTGAACTAAATAGAACATGTATACCATACGATATACATTTTTGAGATGCTTTTAATTCCGTTTGTGAAGAAATAAATTCTGAAATAAACCCAGTGTTCCTGCAAAATAAAATAAATCGCACAAGAAAAATTTTAATTCAAGCTGAGGTAGTTTTGACTCTTAGTAAAAATTAAAAAACGAAAAACCTGACAGTTTTATCCGACAATCTAGCAGCTCAACGTCTAGTTTAAGTTAAAAGATATTCGATTCGTATTAAGACAATTGTCACTTACACGAGAACTGGAAACTAATTGTAGTATTATAAAAACAACTATAGAGTAAAATAACGAAATTTGCATTTGATACAAACGGACAATTTAGTTTAACGGTTTTCATATGCAGTCGTAAATACATTTATACCATTAAGATTTAAATATTATAAATATCTCTGCAATGTTCTTTAATTTTGAGAGTAGATTGTTAAAAGTTTCCATTCTTTTAACTTTAGTGTCCACACAAAACGCCTGACTGTTTTATCCGACGAGGCAAGCTGCTATTGCCGAGTTCCCTTGCATCCGAATATTTTCATACAATTGCGTTTGCGGCAACCGGCGACTGTGTCCGACTGCCGCAATTGGCGACTACATATGAATTGTATGAAAATAGAATAATCGCTTCTAATTGCCAGTTGCTTGTAACCAGCACAAGACTTAAATACTGCTTCTTCTCTTCTACATAATATCGACATAAGGACGGAAACGTCACTAGAACACCAAGTCTCTGTTTTGTTGTTTGTTATTGATCTAGTAAAAGTGATACGCTCACATTTTGAACGTCTTAGGTACGTTTCTCAACTGGGGGACTCCTGTCAGTTGTACCGGTAATTAGTTCCGAAATAGATTTGTTCCCTATGTCCCACACCATCCCCGTAACGGGTAAGCATTTTTCAGTTTGCCTGTCTGTGATAACGCGGTACAATCGCTGTATACAGTAACCTAAGCCTCATTTATAACAAAATCACTACGGAACACAAAGACCGGTCATGTTCTTAATATTACATATAGACAAAAAATCGATGTGATTTTTGCGATTTAAAGGTATGCGTGGCACTGCAACTGTTATGGACAGGCGTGTCGTTTACTACCAGGCGCAAACTTGTTCGTCTCGTCATTTAGTATCATAAAAAAAGTGAGAAAAAAGATAGTGTACACGCTTCAAAATTGCGTAATTGTTTATGATCAATCAAACCATTGACTTATAAATAAATTGACGACGGGTCTAATACAAAAACCACGAAAAAAATGTCCCAAGTCAACCTATTCGAAATTTAATTTGTAATGTCATCGCAGTATCGCGGTGTCAGTAGAACAAATGAAGACTAAAGCGGAGTTTGGCGCTCTGTATACGATTTTAGCACCTTACAAGTGCGGACACTTTTTAGCGCGGACCCGACGTCCATATAATTGTAAGTCAATGAATCAAACATTGTTTATGTTTAGAGCATTTGTTATGGTTTTAACTGACTTGATTATTTGACGCTCTACTGCTTTTTTTTACACTGCAAAAGTACTTCACGGCAACCTGTACAGATTACGTCTAAGTTGACATTGATAAGGGTCAACTTCCATGACGGGGGATTTTTATTTTTATCCTTTCCCACTTTCTCTTTCCGAAAGTATACACGCGAACTGTCACGCTTAACACGTGACCAACGAACAGAAATTTCTTTGTTTTATGTCTAATTCTAGTTTCTTGAGTTTCTTTTTAAAACAGTTATTGTTTCTTAAGGCGAAGTATTTCAAAGCGAGCATAGATTTTAGGACATGAGGTGTGGGGTGTTGCTTCTCGCGTCTCGCATCCCGCGCGCTACAATTAGTATGAATAAAATAAGAACAGGCGGAGCACGTCGGATCAATTTGACATTGATCCGACGTCAACAATCGCCAGACGGCAGCTGACTACTGGACAATTTGCAAATTTTGGGATAAACGTGAATTTAATAACTAATAGGGCTTCACTTGGAAATCAAAATTGAGCAGGTTCTCTGTAGTACTTAAAGAAAAATGTCTCCATATAAAATGTACGTGCAACATTAGATACTTTAATTATAAATAATTCTTATTTATTATAATTTTATTCTTAAGCAAATTGTAGTAAACGCGATAATGTTTGCTGTCAAAAATGTCAAAGATATCATTTCAATAATTGAAATGCTATCAATTATTGAAATGATATCTTTTTAGATACTGTATTGCTTTAACAATATATTAGAGCAAGAAGTATAGAAGTTTTTCTTCAACAAAAATCTGTAAAAACGAACTAAGTGTGGAAATGAAACTATTTTTCCGGATTTAAATCGCTTATTTTTTTTTTTTTCAAACAATCCGACGTTTTTCGGGCCTTTTACAGGTCCCATGGTCACGGTTGACTGAGGTGGTACAGTCATCGACCAGTTATGTCTAATATTAATGCAAACCGCCCTATTGCTTTCACTACAATTACAAAAATTATTAATTAAACACCTTATTTTTAATTTTATAAAGAAACATTCTAATTAACGCTACATTATGTTTTACAAATTATTTTACTTTAACAATGTGAATTTTTATTTACTTAAATGTATTATTGATTAATAATGGAAATTAGAATAAATTAAAACATATTAATTAGTACTGCAGTCTTATACATGTTTGGAATTTGTTCATCAGAGGGAATACTGGACCCAAACAGGTGGTACGGAGAAACCATCTTCCCTGTTGAAATTAGGGTGTTTTTTAATTTCAATGGCCTCTCGCAGCATCCTGGTTAGATAACAGACTTATTTAGCAAGGACCTGGGGTTTGTCAAACTTCATTGAACGTGTAGGTTTATCCATGACATGCTCGCAGACTGCAGACTTGTTTACGCGACGGTGTTTGACATCAGCTATATGTTCTTTGACGATACAAATACTTTGGCGGTACAAATACTTCGCTTCGTTTGTCCAATATAAGAGAGACCGCACTCACAGTCAAGCTTGTAAACTCCTGCATCTTGTACGGGGATGTTACATTTCACGGGTCTCAGAAACTGAGAAATATCCTTGAGGACTTGAAACAGGTCTTGATAGATGCACGCCTGAGGATTCTTTCGATCGTGTCTGTAACACCTCTCGCGTATGGTAAAATGGCAGGTATTCGCTCGACTGTTGGTCGTTTCATATGGCGCCTGTGACAAGGTGGCTGTGTGTCAATTATTTACAAAGTTAGATATTTTATTCTTAAACAATTCGTTTTACACTTTTAGTTTAGCCTGTTTTCTGGATTTTATATGGTCGGGTGAATTACTTTCTATCGTGTAACAATTTAGTACATTCTTTAAACAATATCCTTAGGTGTATCGTTCATTTTTTGTAAGACCGTGATTTTATAGTAAATACCTAAACAATTTGATCTACCAAAAGTTCTTCCCTCTTCTCCTCGTGTGACTCGCCTTAAGTGCTTCCTGGTGTCGATTTCTTTTGGAATAGATAAAAGATATATAATATATCTAGAGATTATATATATAATATTATCCATTTTAACCTTAATTTTTATCTTTACGTTTCTTAACTTTCCATTTTTGGGAATTACCTTTACCGTGTATACCTTTGAAATTTTGATTCGACGATCCGAGTGCTAAATAATTTAAAGGATATAAAGTGCTGACTGTGGTATTCTGACAGACGGGTCCTAATGGATTTCTTTTACATAGGAATAGTATGTATTTAACTATCTCCGTGGCCAGTTGCCATGTTGGTTTGCCACACAGAGGTCGCGGGTAAGATTCCCGGGCCGGGAGAAATATTTTGTATGACCTACATTTATTTCTCTCGTGAGTTTGGGTGTAATTTGTAGTTGTCTATGTGTGTGTCCTGGTCCTCGCGATAGAGGGTTTCCCTAGTGCGGGACAATGAGTGTGTGATTATTATTATTATAATGTTATTCATAGGTCATAGATAATAAAAAAAGATTGTACTAAAGTTGTCACATTAGTCCGGCCCGATGAGTAAAACTTATCTATCACCATCACCCATGACACGTCGCATTGCTGTGTACAAGTCTTCGTTACGAGTCGATATTACCTTAGCTCGTATTAAAATGTTTCCCGTACTGAATTGGTTCTATTACGCGGGGCGAGTGGCAGGCACGGACAACGGCACATCAGACTACATATTTTTGTTCGAAAATCGCCTCCAGTGCAACGAAACAAGATACGTCAATGTGTAGCTTGAAGTGCTGGCGTGGTACAAAGGCTTTATTTTCGAATTTTTTTTTTCAAACAATAAAATTATAAATGTTTATTGAATTGATATTAATTTTTTTTTTGTGAAATTACTCCACTAGTTTGTTATAATTATTAATACAAAGATCGATCGCTCAGAACAACACTCAGAAAAAATCTGATCTGATAAATCTGTCATAGATTTCTCATAGATGGCGC